ACACACACACACACACACACACACACACACACACACACACACACACACACACACACACACACACACACACACACACACACACACACACACACACACACACACACACACACACACACACACACACACACACACACACACACACACACACACACACACACACACACACACACACACACACACACACACACACACACACACACACACACACACACACACACACACACACACACACACACACACACACACACACACACACACACACACACACACACACACACACACACACACACACACACACACACACACACACACACACACACACACACACACACACACACACACACACACACACACACACACACACACACACACACACACACACACACACACACACACACACACACACACACACACACACACACACACACACACACACACACACACACACACACACACACACACACACACACACACACACACACACACACACACACACACACACACACACACACACACACACACACACACACACACACACACACACACACACACACACACACACACACACACACACACACACACACACACACACACACACACACACACACACACACACACACACACACACACACACACACACACACACACACACACACACACACACACACACACACACACACACACACACACACACACACACACACACACACACACACACACACACACACACACACACACACACACACACACACACACACACACACACACACACACACACACACACACACACACACACACACACACACACACACACACACACACACACACACACACACACACACACACACACACACACACACACACACACACACACACACACACACACACACACACACACACACACACACACACACACACACACACACACACACACACACACACACACACACACACACACACACACACACACACACACACACACACACACACACACACACACAAGAAAGGGGGGACACACACACACACACACACACACACACACACACACAAGCAATATAAAGTGGATTTAATAAACAGCAAAACTTCTAGTCTATCGGATTAAGTTCCTGTTAACTTGAACTAAAGATTTTAATCTTTTCACTAGCCTTTAGGAAAGGACACACACAGTTCATTTTAACCTTCATTATATGTGACTCAACCAATCTCCACCCCTACCCCCCAACCCACCCCACCCCAAAGTGATGGACAAAATTCATTACACTGTAGTGTAAAAGTCTTACCATAAATCCGAGCAGCAGTGGCTTGTAAACTTTGTAATAATTCCTTGTTCGAACGAGAAGCAGCAGAATGAATGATATCAATCAGCTGATTGGAAAGCTCAGGGTTTCTCAAGCCAAGCAGAGCAAGTTGCTGAGGTAAACCAGCCAACCAACGAGACAAAACTTTACTTCGACTTCTACAGAAAGAGGGAAAATTAGTTGGGGGGGGACGGGGGACGGGGGACCAGCAAACCCTACAAACTTTCTCTTTCTGGTCTTGACTAAGTTGCTTTAATGTCAGGTACAATTAAATTACAATAAACTGCAATACTGTGATTTGCTGAGACTATTTCACCAAAAGACCTGATCACACTGATGTACTACTGCAGTTACATCAGAATTATTTATTTGATCTACAGGTTCCGCACTGCATATTTTCAACTCTTTTAGAAAGTATTTGTGTCGACAGATCAAAAGCTGGCAAAGTTACATTTCCATTTATCAGTAGTTTTATCAGTTTGTAGAGTTATGAGTCAATCTACAAAGCTATGAAACTACTACACCCTCAATACCGCCGAACCCCCCAATCAAGCTTCTACTCCTTACACTAGACTTTCAAATTCAGTTCTACCTTTGCTGATGTCTTGCTTGTCAATTCGGATACCTCTTGACGCAGAAAAAAAACTAGAATTGGTCAAACACAGCACTAACAACCTTATTAACAACGTATGTTGTGTCAGACACTCTCCCACTATCCATGCAGCCATTCGTCACAGGTGCCTGTCATGCTGGTAAGGCATGATTTGTTCTTACACACCTACTAGCTTGGTTCCTGATTACCTGCTTGTCCTTTATGTGTTCACGTATGAATTCCAAGCAAAGGACTGCCTGATTTTTCCAGGGACCAAACCAAGGCTCATTCCCCTAGATTCTCCTCAAGATGGGTTAATAGCAGTCTTTTTCCAGTCATGCAGAACTTCCCGCAGTCATCATGGTTTTTCATGGGTGACAATGACCTCACTTTCACAAGAACACTTTTTCAGCACCCTCAGGTACATCCCTGCCTATCTATCTGGCCCCTGGATTTCACTACATTCAGCTGATGTGATTCTCCACTTGCCAAATTTAAGAAGGCTTTTTACATAAGATCTTGCCTGTTCTGCTGGAATGTCTAGCTTTCTACTGACTCTACCCAGAGCCTCAAAAGAAGCACAACTGAGGTGTTTCGGCCAATTCAAACCTGAGTGGAAGGAATGTATAGCTTAGGTTGTCCCTGCAGATCTTACAATCTGGGCTTTCTTGAGCATAACTAACTACAAATGAAGTCAACTGAATAATGTATCAAATCATCCTGCTGATAGATTACAATGCTTCCATGTATCTTCTGCTACAGCTTAGTATCTTTAAAAATTACACTTGCTTTTTTCCCCACCACCTTAGTACACAGGCAACATATAGAAGGAGAAAGATCAGTCACAGGATTATGGTTTGCAACTGCTCGGTTGAACTTTAAATTTTAAAAAAGTCTGTCAGTCACCAAATGCACCGATTTTTGTTTTGTACAAATACACCTCTTGCAGCTCCTACCGTACCCTCAGGTAATCCAATTCTTTTGGTTTATATCTCCTTTCCTCTGCTCAGGTAATGCTTCTGAACTATATGCCACCAGAAAGTTTCTATTGGCAACGCTCCTGCTCTGTGTGACTGTCATGAATGATAACATGAAGTTTAGCTTCAAGAGAGCTCTGGGGAACTCTCTAGGTAGTCTCCGTCCAGTTTCACCACTCCTGCTGTTGTCACCTATGTACTGTACCCCACTGTACACACTCCTATACTTTAAGTGAGATGCCATCTTTTACACCACATCCAGATTGCATTACCTGCCTTTTAAAGGTAATAGTCAAAGATCTTACTATCTGTATTTTCTCTTACTATCTGTATTTTTACACACCAGTTCTCTCAAGTCCCTGGAATAAAATTTATCTAATCCTCCTCTTTTGCATTCGTTTGACAGCACTGAACTCACTTTTGTTTACAGCACTGGTGTTTTCATATCTGAGGACTCTGACCATCCCTTGTGTTTGACATGAATTACAATAATCTTTCTTGAAAAATGTGACAAATTATTTATATTGAAGGACAAGCTGAATTCATCCTCATTTCAGACCCACTTCTTCCCTTATCCTATAGTGTGATAGTTAAGAAGCTTTTGCTATTTTCATGTCCTATAAAAAAAAAAAAAAGATATTCAACCTGACATTTAGGAATTTCTATTTCTAACACACTCATCAGAAAAAACAAGAATGAAAACAGTTGGCTTATCAATTCCTTTCTTCTCATTCCCTGTTAGTGCTGCTTACCGTAAACATCCCCTAAAAGCTGGTGAGGAAACAGCAATAAAAAACTTGCACAAGCATAAGACAAATCCTCATTTGTATTTATGATTTGATTCTCCAGACCTCCTTCAACATTCCAATCAATTGGCATGCTCATACCAGGAAACTTCAACTAACTGGGTTTTTTCTTTCCCTTAAACGTCTTTGGGTCTGAGTTTGTAAAACTTGACAACCTCCATTACAGATCTGCTTTTATTTATCCATTCTAGCTCAAACTGAAACAATCTTACAGACTAATCCTATCTTTTGTTGGCTACAATTTCTATGACACTGTGGCTTATCAAATCAAGTATCATTTATAAACCAAAAGCATTTAATCAGATTACTACTAAAGTGATGACCGCATCAAAGAAGCTGCCGAGTATAAATCAAGTTCAAAGTAGGTCTTTGAAGCTGTCAACAAGAGTAGCATAACAATGACAAAAATGATCTGGCAAAATTCCTCACCAAAACATTTTTTAAGGAAACCAAGTACCCATGGCATAAGAGGGAAGGGTCTTGCATAGAGAGGTTGTGTTAACAGTAAGGAAGAGCCTGCAGAATAGAGAACTGAAGTGGGTGAGTTGGAAGTAGGCTCAGTAGAGGTCTCAAATCACTTGACATGCAAATGGTGGATGGGAATAAAACATTTGCTTTCTCTTCCCACAGAAGTGGGTGCTGGAATCAAATGAAACTAATAGGAGCCAGGATCAAAGAAATCAAAAGAAAGTTGGTTGTCAGACAGCTGACCATTGTCACTCCTCACCAGAGGATGCTGCTGTTGCTCTTGCTTTAGACTGTTCCAAGGAACAACCATGAAAGTTCATGAAAGAGACATCCACTGAATGACACTAAACACACAGATGCTCTGTGCACTGGGGAAGTACAGGCTCAAATGTCTGGAAGCTTAGAGTACTACAGAAAAGTAATTCTTGCCTTCTTCCTATAGCATCTCACACAGGTCAGTGCTGAAGGGAGGCTGCAAGGCTAAATAGCCTTTTAAGTGTCTACTAGTATATATATATATATATGTGTATATACACACACACACACTGTATATCCATATATACACACAATGAGTGTTCATGTAGCGATTAGGGGTGAAGGAAACTAACATCAAGACCAAAATATTAATTATGAACCTTGTAATAAATCAATCATGTTTTCTTTCACAGGGCAATAGGCCAAAAGCTCCTACCCTGGATCAGATCCACCTAAAAAATAAACAACTTCATTTAAATGCCCTTGGAAAATGTTCCAGCATGAATTCTGCTCCTCTTAGACTGCTCTTAACAAGCTCCTGAGAAAAAAAAAAAACACCAAACAAAAAAAACCACCAAAAAAAACAAACCAACAAAAACCACCACTAAAAAAATGAGGAAACCACTCACAAGAGCACTGAAGAAGCTATGACGTCAAACAGTGGAATAACATGAACGTTACCCAGGATCTACTGCACAGTCCACATCTTGAAGAAATGAAAAAACCCACTGTTTCTGAAGGAAAGAAATGGATCCGTACAGTGCACAAATGTTAAAATGCATTGTCTGACATAAGTGCACTTACCGATTTTGCAAAGAATTTTTGAGATTTCACTCTTCTGTTAACAAAAAAGCCACAATTCCATGTATAGAAGACTAAGAGGAACTGCAGGAAAAATACTGCTATTTATGATTTCTAAAGATAGAAAGTTAAAGCTTTCTAGATATTTAGGTGATCACATGAAACTGGATGAGATGCTCAAGACTTCCAGGAAGTACAGAAAACAGTGGTTATGTAACCTTGGGGAAAGTATGAAAAAAGATCTCTCAGTCACCTCAGGTGAAGAGGGAGAAAATGGGGTATTTCTAAGCCTTCTTCCTGTCTGTCTTTCAAATTCCCTATACTTTTTATAACGTTCATAAGGTAGTGTTAGGTATTTCTGGCTGTAGATCTAATTACATGTACTCAGGCGTTACCACAACATAAGATTTAACAAAGCAAAGGAGTTGCAGAAGAGAATTTCCCTGAAGCTTGACTCTGCTAGTGAATACCAGCACTACAGAAACAGGTATCGATATGATCTTATGTCCCTTTGCAGGTCTTAAATGAGGTAGGATTGATGTAGTCTGTGTTTAAGGATTTTATGTAGCTGGAACCAGATGACTCAGATGAAAAATACCTTCTAGAAAAGTTAAAACCTGGAGACAATTTGGACAAATCTTTTGATGAAAAAGCATAATTACAGCAATACAGAGAATGTCCTCCTACTTGAAGCAAGTCAGGATTCTAATAGATGCATGAAACTGGGAACCCAAGAGGACAAGAGCATTTTCTTAAATCTAGTCTCTTTTGAACAACACACCCAAACCAAAGAATACTTTTCTTAAATAAAATAAGTACAGAATATTAGACAGGCACTACCAGAACCACCAAAGGCACTAAGTCCACAACCTCAAGGTGAAGCAATGGAAATGCTCCATGGCTACAGTTGCACAATCTTGGCACGTCTACTGACTACCACAGAGCCAGTAACAATGAGATTGCAGAAGTGTACTTCAAGTTAAATTTTAAATCATGAAGATATATCTAGTACTTACACTAAGAAAAAGAGACAGCTAAACTAATACATATCTCAATCTCACAGAGAACCTCCAACTTTCAAATTGCAGCAACGCAGTGCCGAAACAGATTCAGAATGAAGTCTTATAACATGCATATATAAATTTAGTATTCTAACTTCTGAAATAAATACACTATGCTGAAATTAAAAAGAACATGCAAATAGTTTTTACCTGATTCTTTGAGTCCTCAAATCTTCTTTTTGGTAAACTCTGCTAAAAAATTTCAAAAGCAATGTACGAACTGGAAAGAGGAGATTCCTTTGCTGGTATAGCGTATATACTGCTTTTATCAAGGGTTCTGTTGCCACTAGAAAGAAAATATATGAAAATCTGAAGTAGTGCTTCTTCATTTTCAGATTTTATACATACAGACATACACAGAAGAGCTATAATCCGTATCTGCAACTATCTACATTTAACTCCAGGTGGACGTACCAAAATGTTTTAAAACAACTACTGGATAGACTTCTAAACCTTTGAAACACCTTCTTCTGTAGCTGGTGACACAGCCACACAAAAGAACAGAGACAACATGCAAGTGAAAACTTCAGAATTTCTTGATGACAAAAGGCAATACACAGGTTGCAAGGTAACTGAGAATCAATAAACTCCTGCTGCTTTCCACAGCTATCTTCCACATCCTTTTCCTCTAATGCAGCAATCTCACACCATCTTCTCCTTTATTCCTCACCTATGCTTTCCCCTAACCTCACTGTCACAGTGCCTTCAATTCTCTCCATACTATTCCTTTCTCCCTGCCATATATACCAGCCTTGTCAGCTCTCCATGTCTTTGAACCAGCTGGTTCCAAATCATATTTGCTAATTAACCAGAAAAATACGTACTTCAGGATGCCATTGGCAAGTCACTGCAAAGACAACTGCTCAACTTCAGTGCAACCTCTCCTCCTCTGAAGCTCTGCATTACCACCAGACATAAAACAATGTAGGAAAGTTCTATACTTATGACTAAAACCAGCCAGCAAGTGCAGAAGTCAAAGCAGACTGAGAAGCAAGACCATTTTCTTCAGAAACCAGATTAAACCACTATGCAAAAATTAACAAAGCATGGAAAAATATCTGAATTCAGGCAGGACAGGCCTGGAAAGAATGGGGAAGCATCTGAAAACTTAAAAAGATATATGAAGGATATGAGACCTGACTGACTTTGTCTCAGAAGAGCCTGGATCCCAATGAATTCACTGCTGTCAAGACATACTTAAAAGTAGCGGCAATCACGTCATTATCTTCATAAAGCAAGACTCTGAAACCTTTGTCTTTCCATGCAGGTGTACAGAGCAGTCTTAGTAAGTTATGCATTCAAAAATAGATACAAATTTTGTGTTTCACACTGACCACAACTACTTCTGCCCACAGACACAAGAATGCGCCATACTAAAAATTATTCCTGATCCAGTCAGGGCCTGGTCTGCGTTAATAAAACGCTTACCAGGGAACATATTTAACTTACTGTATAGGGATTCTCTCTAAGAAGACATGCTATATATAAAAAGCACATGAAATGGCATGGTCATACTCAAGCATAATGCAGAGAGCCATTTAGATGTTGAAGTCATCACCTTCATGGCCCTTCACTGGACTCTCCAGCATGTCCATGTCTCTCTTGTTCTGGGGAGCCCAAAACTGGACACAATACTCCAGGCATGGCCTCACCAGTGCAGAACAGAGGGGAAGGATCACCTCCCTCAAGCTGCCATCAACACTCCTCCTCAAGCAGCCAGGACACTACTGGCCTTTCTTTTCCACAAGGGCTCACTGCCAGCTCCACTGGGATCCCCTGGCCCTTTTCTGCCAAGCTGCTTTCCAGCTGATCAGCCCCCCAGGATGTAAAGGTGCACAGGTTTGTTCTTCCCCAGGTGCAGGATGTCACATTTCTCCTTGTTGAACCATCAACCCATTTCTCCAGAGTGTTGCGGTTGTATTTCCTCTACAGCTAGCAAATGAATTACAATCTGACATCTAGTCAGGCTTTTACTACTGCACAAGGATTATCCTGAAGCGACAAGGTAAAGTGTCCACAAACAGATACAGATTCATGAGGTAAACCGTTTCCTACTTGCAGTGAAATTCCTAAACCTTTACAAGATCAGCAGACAAGAGCCATACATATTAATCCTTCACAATTTCATTTAAACTTTTTTAGATCTCATTTATTTTCTGCACTCCTGAGGAAAATCATTGCACTAAAATGACCACTTTGGTTAGAAAAACACCAACCATTATCTAGTGCAGGTAAAAGTTTGGTAGACAGAGGAAAAAAATCAAGGTTGCAATAAAAGGAAAACCATGAAGTATCTGATTTAACAGTCTAACAATGGTTAGGAAACTACTTTCCTAAGTAGCAACTCTTCTGCTTTAGCTCAGCCAATGAAACAGGCACATCTCTGACTTTGGACTATTATTTGCCTTCAACAGTAAGATAAATCTGGAGTACAGATAGGAATGATTAATTATTGCTTTTGTCACCAGGGACATAGGAATAGACAGATTGCCAATTAAAATGGATTTTGAAGGAGATAACACTAATATATAAAATTATATATATATATATATATCTATAATAACATGTTAGTGTTATGCCAAAATATATTTAAGGGGCATTAGATATTTTTTCATCTTACAACACTAACAATGAAACCTGCTGCTAATGGCAAAGCATTTTCTATAAACTCAGCTGAGTGGTTGGGGAATTAACTTCTACAAGACTGGTAAGACACAATGGACTCCTGTCACCTTTAGATTTACTGAAAGAAATCTTATTTAAGAAGTCCTACGTCAATCACTTAATAGAAATGTCGACCAAGGTCTCACCTGGAACACAACCAAATAGCACTTGAAAGAGAAAAAAAAAAGCCAAGCCAAAATAGTGACTTGCAGGACCAGTACAGAACTGGAAATATCTTTTCTCTTGAAAAAGGATTCAAATCAAACACCTTGGAAAATAGTCTACAGCAGCTTCAATCAGAACTATCTTGGCATTTCATGTCATCAGAGAACTAGCATGGTCATCCAACAGTACTCAAGGGACTTTACCGGCTACATTAATTATTTTAAATAAGGACTGGAATATTAAAGTATCATGAACCTCTACATCTTTTTTTTTTTTTTTTTTCAATGAGGAAAACTCATCTTCCCATTTATAAGAATATCTTAAGGAGTAAAAACAGTAAAGAGGTACACAAATATATTAATACTTTGCATATCAATGGTGTTAATCTAACAACATTCCTAGAAGTCAAGCACTTTTGAATGCTACATGCAGGGATATGACCATGAAATTCAATTTACATCTACAGACAAAGTAAATTATGATATAACAACTAAGGATGTAAGATGAAGTGATCTGAAAATGCTAGAATAACTCAAGCTCTTTGTTGGTGCATAGTTTTGCTTTTCAGAAACTACTTGTATCTTACCTTTGTTTTGCTGTATTTGCATTAGTCTCCAAGTCACACCAAGCAATCTGTTCACCTGCTTGCTATTCAGCTTGCTGCCGTCCTGAAGAGTGTCTGTCACAAATTTCCTTATCATGTCCAGCCAACCAGAATCCACCTGAAGTGTTGAAGTGCTTGCTAGTGAAACCATTATGTCACACAAGGTTAAGTTCAGTAAAAGATGGTCTACGCTGTTTGAGGATGTCATACAGTATTTGTTGCTAAGGGGGAAGGGAGGGGGGGAAGAAAAGAAAAGAAATTTCAAAAAACTATTTTGTGTCTCTTAACATACATTGGTAGAAATTAAACTAAGTAGAAGAAAAAGGTCTAAGTTTTAAAGACAATACGCATTTTTAAAGTCTTCATATTTCGCATTGAAATTTTTTCTTCTGCCACCAAAATGTCTGTTTCTCATACTTATAGCGGCAGCAACAATGAAAGCTCTATATTGTATCTTTGTGTCATGTTTCTCCTGTTTGACATTTTTAGTATGGCCCAGCAGCACTTTTGGGTGACTGAAAGCAGTAAAGGAAAACTAAAAAAATTGATCCTTAGTTTCAATCTTTTCTGTTTCTTTTTCTCTGATCAATCATATGGATTTTGTCATTATTACACAATGACAAAAGCACCATGAACAGCACAGAACTCCATTTATGTACTTTTTCCCAAACACATGTGGAATCAGAAACACATTTTTCACCATCACAATATTCTGCAGGACCACCCTGTTGTGCTACAGACGTTTGAAAGACAAAATTAAGGGATATTAAGATTAAGGAATCAAAGGCACTGCAGCTCGACATACAATGCTGGAGCTTCTCTACTCGCGGATTGGTCACTCACAGTATACAAGAAAAAAAATACCACAGCATTTATCTACAAAAAGTTGCACAATATCAATGCCTACATCTAGAACACAATGTAGAGCTGTGAAAACAAAGTAACAAAATGCCCTTTAACCTGCACTAACATTAACTTAATTAAGTGTAGTCACCTTCAGTTCAGAGCCAACCATTACAAAATGAACAAATAAATCTCAATCTGTGGACATCACTTACACATGCCATAAATCCTAATAACTTTACATTCAGAATATGTAGATACTATGCTCTATCAGTAACACTGGGGTAAAATTCTGCAATATTTTGCAAACTGGAAAAGGAAAGAAGCCTCGAAGTGCCATGCAAGTTTTCAAATGCAGGCCTTTAACTCAATATATTAGCAAGCAAGGAAACAAAAGAAACACTTCTTTTTTATTTTCATAGCATGAAGCTAGTTTCCAGAAGTCTTGAAGTAACAGTCAAAATAAAAACACAAAAAAGTTTCACAGATTAAGTTTCCTGCATGTATTCAACACCGTATTTATTTTGAAGTGCAAGAATAGGGCAAAACTTAGTAGCAGAGTGAAAAAGGATCAACAGAAGTATGGTTAGCCAGTGTCTTGGTTTAAACACAGCACAGCTGCTTGCTCACCCTCCCCTGCCCAGGGGATGGGTGGTAGTGTTGAAGGGGTAAAGGGAGACTCATAGGTTAACATAAAAACAGTTTAATAATTGAAATAAAACACTAACAATACTATAAAGTACAAACAGGTAATGCACAATGCAATTGCTCACCACCCGCCGCCAACTGACACCCAGCCTGTTCCCAGCTAGTGATCCTGAAATACCAAGAGCCCGCAGTCGCAATCCCATAAGTCATACACACACACCCCCCCCCTCATCCTTTTCCAGCCACTCCTCCTTTCTATACTGAGCATGATATGGAGTATTTCACTGGCCAGTTTGGGTCTGATGCTCTGGCTGTGCCCCCTCCCAGCTTCTTGTACACCTGCACATGGGCAGGACAAGGGGAGTTAGAAAGTCCTTGATCTCTTAGAAACAACTGAAAACATCAGTGTATTACCAGCACCTTTCTCATAACAAATCCCCTACTGAATCCAAAACACAGCACTATTCTAGCTACAGTACTAAGAAGAAAAAATAACTCTATCCCAGTCAAAACCAGGACAGTCAAGATGTCATCTGTTAAGACAAGAAAGATGGTTTCATTGCCCAACTACTAATTCTGAGATTTTCAGTTTCAGGGAAGGGTGTTCCGGTCAAAACCTAGAAAAGCAAAACACCTTTTGGCTTTATGAACTTAATGGGTAAAACTTAACTGAAATATAAGCATTTAAAGAGCAGCTATGCTGTACTTCTGATCTACATGCCCTTCCAGGGAGTAAAAAAATGCAACAGTCAAAATATCAAACAGAATTTCAGTCTCAAGTATACCTGCACCACGGTAGACCCTCAGTGTAAAAAGAGGTGGTTCTACTACTACAGCTCAATCTGCAGTGGCACAGTTTGCAAGTATTGGAAACCATGGTAGACACCAGCTGACACCCCTTGTGTATACAACAGCGTTCTACGTAGACTGGTGGCGCAGAATGACTCCTTGCAAGAGTAAAGTCTCACATCTGGGAGCTAAGAGGGGAGACAAGTTGCTACTGGCTTGTACTAGAACAAAATTGGTGCACCCACTCTGACAGCTCAATAGAGAAGAAACATGTGAGTGTTCGGCCTCTCCTGCTCCAGTACTGTTTTGCCACACAGAATAGGCACAATGTGTCCCATCTCCCCTCCTAGCTGGATATATCCAGCACTGTAAGACATCTATAGAAGAGGTGTGGATGAAAAAAAAATGTTTTAACTATGTTTTGATGTAATTCAACAGTCAACCAAAGAAAACATGCAGAATTAAGAAACTTGTCAGACTAACACAAATTACCATTTAGCGATATGCAAATTCCAGATCAAATGTTCAATAAAATAATTTATCTGAGACAGCATTTTAATTTCTACTAGGACCTACTCAGATGACTTCCTATACAATACTTTCATAAAGAACAGCAAAAACTTCTCAAAGTAATGCTACCTTCCTATAAAAACTTCTCTGCAGAACTTCAAGTAATACACAATAAAAAGTTTTTTCCCCAACATTAAAAAACTTAATACCAGATAAAGCAAACGACACACATTGTCTCACTTATGAAATTAAAATCTGTAACATGACATTGATTTTCTTCTTACCCTTTGCATGAATCTTTCTTTTTGTGCTTTACTGTTTCTTGTAAAGAATAAGGAAAATGACGCATGAAGTGGTGCTTGAAATCAACAAGGTAATTCATTCGAAGCCATAGTTCCTGTCAAAGAAAGCAGATAAGACAAAAAACACAGTAGTAAGTGAAATACATCAATGCAATCTCCTTCCAAAACCATTATTGGAATCAATGAAAAATAGGAACTTTAGCTCCTGTTTGCAAGTTTTCATCGATATTTGCTTTCAGATGTAAACATGAACTTCTGTGCCTGAACCAGAAGATCCACAAAACAAGGGAGTAAAATTGAAGGGGTAAAGGGAGACTCATAAGCTGACATAAAAACAATTTAATAATTGAAATAAAACACTAACAACACTATAAAGTACAAACAGGTAATGCACAATGCAATTGCTCACCACTCATCGCCAACCGACACCCAGTCCAGAAGTCAAGGTTGAGCAACAACATTTAATCCAAACATGACCAGTATATTTTCTTAGCACATACTAATGTGGATATGTGCATATTAAACTGAGTTACAGGTGTGAATTGAAAGTGCTTTTATATCAGTTTATCAGGGTACTTAAAAATCACAGGACACTCATGATTTACTTGTAGTGACTTTCCTGAGTTCTCCATTAAGACATATTCTGAAACTGCCTTCACCCTTCCCCATCATTAAGTGTACTTGTAGTTCAAAGCTCCCTGACAAAACATTTTCCAGTAGAAAGGCCATCCTTACAGAAAAAGGATTTTTTAAATATTTGAAAATAATTTTACTTTTCGGGTTAGCGGTCACCATTCCACAAAATGTCCAGCAGAACTCACACCAAAAAATGCCTGTATTGCTATCAAACTGGTCACACAGAATAAGCTTTCTGATACTCAATAATTAAGAACAGAGAATGATCATTAAACTATTTCAAAGATGAATACGTTTCCACTAAGCATATTCAGAGTGATTTTCTAAAGTGTCTGTAATAACCACTTTGGCCTATAAGCCCAAGGGCTATTAAATAATCAAAACTTCCATTTTGAACCTAAGCCATTTGAATGAATATTCTACATATAGGTGACTGTAACAGAGAAGACAAAATAAACTGTTTATCTTATCTAAAACATAATATACTCAAAAAAAAAAAGTTGTAGTGACATCAGATTTTTTTTTTTCCCCAAAAAAATCCTAAAGTCATAATGCAACTCTGTGTACCTAAAACAGCTCACATCTTGAAGCAGGAGCACTTTTTTCATGTGATGAAAATGCAGGCACCCTATGGCTAAGGGCAGCAGCTCTGCAGTACCCTAAAGGCTGGCACAGTAGGCTGCTGCAGGTATTTACCTGGCCAACTGCCTGCTTTCTGCCTCCTTCCAAGAGGCCTGCTAGAAAAGATGAAGAGGAAAAAGGGGAACAGCCTGTTTTGTTCAGACACACTGAATCCATCACTCAGGCTGTGTATGTTGGGTAAGCCTGACCTAGTGGAATGATTCCACAAATGTTTTCCAATAATTATTCTATGCAGGTTTTTGTATAGAAAATGGACCTACAGTTCTATATGTAGGTAAAACAAAGAGCTGTCTAGACATTCCTTCCAACTCTTCTCAACAGCCAAAATGGAGTGTTCTTTTTCCAGTTTGCAAAATCTTTAGAAGAGCATCAAAAGTTACACAAAAAAACCCCAATTAATTTATCAAAGACAGACAAAATAATTAGGGAAAAAAACTTCAAGGATATTTTCCAAAATTCTGATTGAAGCTTTGATTCAATGCCGTGTGATACTACCAATCACGACACAACACGTAGGTTGCACCATGCAGTTACAGGATCTCATACCACCATTGTCCTCTCCCTTTCTAAGGCTTTAGGGGTTTGTTCATTTCCACCCCCAACTGTAAAATTTTTCAACACATAAAACGAAGGAACAAACAACTCCATTTGACACTTTGTTCAAACATATTCTAAAGGTTATCTGGGAGATAAAATGCTTCTCTTCTCCAATCCCACTTTCAGTTTCAAAAGCATTTGGGCTGCAGTTTGTCAACGATTTCTGGAGATTATCGGTGAACTTGTTGCTCAATTCAACTGATTCTTTTCTAGAGTAAGAGACCTGACAAAATCCAAACTCAAATTTTACTCAAAAAATCTAGCTTTTTCCTCTCTTAATATTTCCACTACTTTCAACCACCAAATCCCTAGTTTCCAATCAAGACAAAATGAACTGTCATTATTATGCCACAGATCACTTCTCCCTTACCATTTTGTATGTTTCATCATGTCGCTTTGTGAGTTTCCACAATAAATGTATTATACTAAGCACTTGCTGCATAAGCTGCTGAGATTCTGATTCCAAAAGGTTTCCAAGAATGGGAGCTGATTGTGCAGGAGATGCTTCAATCCAGCACTCAATCAGTAATGGAATTATTATCTCAATAAAACCTTTTAAGTTTTCAGCCGAGGACAGGCCTTTTTCTGCACTGTCCATTACACTTGCCAGAGACCTAAACGACAAAAGCAAAAAAAAAAAGATAAAGATCACACCTTTAAAAATAGAATAGAGCAATACCACTTTTCTGCTTTCTGAGTAACAGGAAGAATTAATTTTTTAATACATTAAATGTCTGCTTGCTTTCTTGCTAGATATTTCAGTAAGGAAAAAAGGGAGTTCAAATCATCTACAACAATCCTGCTGCCTAGTCTCCCTGTGCCTCTAACAACTTAGATTTCACCATTTCTTTCCCCACTGTTATACGTAAAGTCTTTAAAGTGGAGAAATATGATTTGCATTATCGTATCACCTTCAACCAACAGATAAGAACTCACTGTACTTGGCACAATAAAAATATCTTTACATTTTAAGCTGCTTAAAGCAAAAGAATGAAACTGACTACAAAGTATTGTCAAATGCATTACGTTTATTACAGTTAATAACAATCTCCAGCTATAATAAACATAATGACTGTTCATATTAATAGAAAAAAACACATTCTGCAAAAATGTAACTTCGGTTCCCACCTGATATTTAACTGTAATGCTCTGAGAGCAAATAGCTGGAAAATTATGAAAATTATCTAATAATCAAGTTGAACAAAAATTATTGAAAAATTAAGATATAGTTTAAATTAAAATAACATCTTCCAGAAAGCAAGAAAGACAAGGACTTTTTTCCCCCCCTTACAACACACTTCATTTGTGTTTCAAAAGAGATTACAAGCACACATGACCAAATCCTGCTCCTGGATAAACTCAGGCAATTTTTATCCATTGTAAAAAGAAGGTTCTTTAAAGAAAGAAACCCCTTAACTCCTGCTAATTTTAAGCAATACAGAAGCTTCTGAAAGGATTTAAGTGACAAGAGTCCTTAAAAGGAAAAAAAAAAAAAAAAAAAGGGGGAACAATCGTTAAACTGAATGAAGATTTCTGACATTGTTTTCCATTATGATTTTGTTTTCTAACTCACAGCAGGGAATTCCCATCATAATTCTAACTTCCTAGTACAAATAAAATTGTTAAAACTCCTTTCCATTTCAGTGACATTCTCCAAGTGATTTTTCTTTACATATACACACAAAAAGGATCAGAAAAACTACTTTCTTGCTTTCCACAGACAAGGCAGAGAATTTGTTTACAAATATTTTCATTTCATATTGGATTACAAAGGTGAGCAGTTCTTCCCAGTCATCCTGTCATTTCCAAATTATCCAATTAGTTACGTTCTTCTATGAAGCTACATTTCTCCTGCTGTTGTAATCATCTATAATATGCAAGTAATAGAAAATTTTATTCTGTGATTTCTCTCTGATCGAAATAAGTATCTCAAGAAAATTACGAAACCCAACTCCGGTATTAAACTGTAAAAGGAGCAGGAATAAGACATCTGCAATGGAATAAAAAGAAAGTGAGACAAACACAGGATTCTTTTCAATGAAGGCAAGACAGAGAGAGAATTTTGATCTCCAGCACAAAATAAAACGGACATGCAGGAACATATTTGGTAGTAAGAAAAAAGTTAATCTTTAATAGCTATTATAACTATCAGACATCTTAAAATTTTATAAAGTCTAGCACTAACTGCAGTAACTAACCTATGCAGTCAATGCAATTTGGCTTATTTGTCCCTTTTTTGTGGCTCTGTGTCCCTTTTATGCCACAGACACTGCAGTAAAGACACCAGTTTCTTTCAGACTATAAGCAGAGTTTACAGTGAATGGTTCCAACTTACAACATTTAACTCTCAGTCTAAAGACACTGTAGACAGATCCCATCTTTCAGTTACATCCACAATGAATTCTTCAGCATCACTCGACAGGCCAGTTGATACCAGGACCACAACCCCACTGAAAAAGTTAGGTTGTCCTGTAAATGCTGTACCATGACAGGATTACAGACTCAGCTGAGATGCTGAAGTGCTAGTAATTGCTGAAATAGTTCTGAAGCCGTAGTCTTTAACTGCTTCTCTGAAAATAATACTTGATATTACAGCAGAGCTCTGGAATCTGAATAATCTATTTCTGGAACATGAAAGAATCTCCCCATTGAACAGCGAACAGTGCATGAAACCTGAGAAGTTGGCAACACACACCTGAGGATTCCTACCAAGTGTAACACACACACCCCCAACTATTTCAGTACTTTTCTGAGACAAGGGATGGAAAAAGAAGGAAGAATCCATGCCAAAGGGATACTCCACCCAGCTCCTGAAAGCATCTGGGCAAGAATACTTAGCGTAGCACTCCTACAAAAGCAGCCCCCCATCTCTCAAGATAAGACTCCTCCAAAATATTCAAGGTTAACAACAAAAGGGGTAAATAAAATCTGATTGCCAGTAACAGATGACAAAGGATTACCGTAATCGGTCCAGTAAATATTTGATTAGTGCAATATGCTTAGCAATACAGGTACACGGGAACAGTTTGATGTCAATTAAAGTGTTTATCTTTTTGTCACCTATCTGTTATCATTATTCTTTAATAAGGCAGTTTTCAGAAACACTACAAAGCATATTACCTTCATATCAATATGAAATACTACCGAAGGAAGCTGCAAGATATTTGTGTAGCCCTTAAACTGTCATTTTTCTTTAAAATGTCAGTATTTTTATACAGCAGGACCAAACAAAAGAGAACTGTGCAACACATCTGTCATTTGACAATAAGAGGACAACAGAAATTCAGCAAAGAAGTCAAGGAAGTGTAAAAGAAACAGAAAATAAGGAATTGACTTTCTGCTGCTTAAAATAGGAAAAGTCATTGGCAGTTTTTATGGCTCAGCATCTAAGCCAGGTTACTGTCCTCCTTTTTTGTGTGCACTGCCAACTGCAGCAAAGAAACACTCAGTACACCAAGTGAACTGTATTTTCCATTTCTATCTGATGCACAGGCCACACCATATAGATATTTATTCACTATGTTTCGTCTTCTGTTTTGGTGTCTCAAGTCTTCTTTGCTTTTCTCTGTAGTTTCATTTTGTCCTTTCTCAGCAGAAATAGTTGTTCTACCATTTCTCTTGAGCACCACTTCCAGTCCAGAAGACATCATACACCTTGGTATTGCCACATTTAAGCTGTGAAGGCTTTTGATTTTTCCACACCTGAAATCAGTTTGATGCAAAAAGCAGCAGTCAGCACATGAAGTATAGAACACATTCTAATATTTCCTAATCCACTGTAATTTTTACTTCCAACACATAGGAAGACCCAGCACATAACAGAAAATAATAGTCTTAAGATTTGCATTGTTGAACCCATCCAGCACTTCAAGCTCAGAATCTACACTTTTTACCAAACATTAATTTGGCAAACTGATTCTGAAAAATCTCTTTCCATAATGATTAGGTTATTATGACTAAGGTGCCACCCCTACCCAATTAATTTACAAGATTAAAAAGATACAGGAACTTAAAAAAATTAGCATAATATTAGTGGTGTTCAGAAGCCTACTTTTTAAAAAAACAAAGTTGAAACTTACTTGCAGTATTAGTGATGAGGCCATCAGTGCATACACACTGCAATTAGTTACTTATGGTTTGATCAATTCATTATCTAGAGACAGGAGTTGACTATTTGTGCACTGACTTCTTCTAACAAAAACACGCCACACTGAGATTTTGGAAGTATTCAAGGAGAGTTACAGATATTTTGCATCTCTTACTAGAAGTAATCTCTGTCCTTGCAGTAATGGCCACAGCAGAGGCCTGGGAGTGCCCATTAAAGGCCACAGTTGGGATTGAAAGAGACAGACGTAAACATAACTATTTCAGTGGCAAATACAAAAACCACCACAGTAACTCCCACTCTTAGAAGTTCATGGATATCCATTAAAACAAGCTGCACCAGCCCTTTGTGCAAAATAAATATACCAAAAATATGTGCAAATGCAATAAAATGAGAACATTTTAGTACCTTCTGCAGATGCCCCTTCTCTTTCCATTCTTCTGTTGTGCAGCCATCAGCTTGCTTGGCCAATCTTGCCTTGGATTCCAGCAACATTTCGTTCTATTCTTCTGGCTCCTCCTCATGCTTGCAAACGCCTTTTTGAAAGTATTTATAACTGCAAGTGGATCACGATGTTTCACCAAAATCGAGCTCCTCAGAAAAGCGGAATCCAATTCAGGTGACACCAGATGTAAAGTTTATTTTCCTAGACCTTGGATACAATGCATCTTCAGCTATTACAGGGCATGGTATATCACACACTTGCATATCATTCAGGGCACAATACAAGAATCCTCTAACACATGGTGGTCCACAACTGTACGCCTCTGACTGCAGAGATGACATCCACAGGACTGTTTTGCGCTTAGAACTGAACCCTTCCCCCTGCCTTAAGAGGGCTTCACTGGTCTAGTTTCCAACTAAAGTTTTACCTGCAACAGATACTGTTGGTCATGACTGAACTCCAACACTACGTTGACAACTACTTTTATGAGAATAAGCTGCATGTTTTACTTAGCTTAATATAGATTTCCTATACCTACCACACGTCATATGCTATCTACTGAGAGGAAGCCTAGAAGAGTAAGAATGGAATGGTCTTTTGTGGATCGCTACAACAGAGATGGAAAACACCTGCTAATTCAGGCCAATACCTGTGGTATTAAGAGAACACCTCTTCTTCTGCACTTCAAAGATATCAGATGGCCACAGCAATGGATTAGGCAGTGAGCTTTATACCCTTTTCTGCCACTAACTTCCTAGATTAATCTGGTCTAACTGCTTTATACTCCTTACTCAGTCTCTCCAGCAGTAAAACAAGGATTGTGGTTCCTCTTCAAACCACTTTGACATCTATGGATTAGAAATGCTGTGTAACAGGTAAACAGCTTCTGTTTTTCAAGTTGTAGTTTCTGGTCTCCTACCAGCAGGTATGTAACACCTATAGTAATGCATATACATGAGGATGCCAATGATTAAAGGGTACCATAAAGTGGGGTGGGAGGTTCCCCCTCTAGAGCGAGGAGTGGGTGAATCAGAAAGGAAGAAGAGAAATAAGAGAATAAAGATGGTTAGTTACTTCTCCTTTAACTTTAGCTGACATCTATTTAGAGCGCTACTAAAAAATACACAAATCTTTCTGTGACTAAGCACACTACACTTTCTTCCATATTCATCAACTTGTCTCAGATAAGACATCTTTTATCCACAGTGAAGATATAAACCAGTGAATTGGTTAAAAATACCTAGAATCAGAAACTCAGCAAAACTTCATACGACCAGACACACTTTATCACACTGTCCTTTTTAAAAGGAGCTATATTCAAAGAATATAGACTCCTAAACTTATGATGGACTGTTGAAGGTAAAAGCACAAAATTTCAGTGAAATTCATTATCGCAGTGTAAGAAACAACCTTACGTTTAATGTAAAGAAATTTGCCTGCTTGCCCCCAGGTCTATTTGATACCCTGCAACATGTTAGTTCACATTCCAGAAAAAAAAAAGCTACAGTTGATCCTCCAAAATTGTTATGAATAGCACAAAATAAAGCTTTTATTTGCTAACAGTAAAGTTCATGATCTATGCATAGCAAAGTTATCTGATGAGTATTTCTGTATTTTCAAGCCACTGCAGTAAGCACTGCGCATTATGCTAAATGCTCTAAAATATGGCTAAGGGACAATCCCACAATAAAAATTAAATTGTTGTCTTCAACAGCACCAAAGCACCAATTAACACTGTGATCATACAGCTGATGTTAACTGTCAAATTAGTTAACATTTTCTCACCTCAGTCTAAATGATGAGTTGATCTTTGGTCGTAAGCCACCATTTTCAAACAGTTGTATATGTTGCTGATTATTTGCATGGACCTTCCAACTTATATATACTGGGTTCCTCACAGAATGAGGGCTATCCTTTTGTTCTTGAAGACCTTCATCCTCTATTTCACTGGATCCATCTACCACTGCTTGAAGAAATTTCTTGAGCCTGGTAAGTACATTCAACCTCCACTGCTGAGAAGTTACTCTGCGATTTGGGTTAACAGAGAGCATCCAGGAAAGTTTCTCTCTGCTTTTCAGTCTTTTTGACAATTGCTGGTGAGAAATAAGCTCTACAAAATTCTTCAACAATATACTGCTGCGGTCTGTGAGAAGAGCTGGGTATGCTTCCAATAAAACATCCAAGACTTTCAATGAATCCTCCTGAATTCCTTCACTGATATGAGTCATGGCACTGGAGAGATGGGCACTTACCAAAGGGAAAAACGGAGCAATCTGTTCTGCTCTTATTTTCGAAGCCAAGAATTGCAGCAGGTGAACAGCTGCTCCTCTGACACCAGAATCTTTGTCTGTAAACACAGCTGCCACCTCACTTATTATATTTGAAAGGTGTGCATCAATTACAAATGGATACTGAGACAGGAGATCTTTGAGCCCAAGAAGTGCATTATGCTTAACTCCAGGACTATAGTGATGCATCTGTGAAAGAAGATCCTAAAAGGAAAGAAACATTGCTATCATTATTACTTCAAGCTCTTTAAACTTTTTCTTAAAACATTTAAATATTTTTCTTAAACGCTTTAAAATACAATATCTATTCTTATGATGTATTGCTGTTTGTAGCAGCATAACATGTTCAGAACAAATATAATATTGAAGCATAACAATGAACAAATGGTCAAAATCCAGTGACAGGAAAACTAAGATACCATGACTTGTCTTCAGGCAATTAGATACTTCTCATTCTTAAGTTTATGCACAACCCCACTGACTTAACAGAGGGATGACCAAAAATAAGTCCTCTCACACTTGTTCTCAAAAGTAGAACTGTGAATTCTCAGTCTCAACAGCTTTGTTCAGTTTAAGCAGAGAGCTGCAAAAGATAGAAGACGATGCAAGGGAAGGAAAGCAGAACCACTATCCAAAGAAATACAAGATTTTTCTAAAACATCATCTCAGAAAGTCTACTTTATAAAACCCTGTCCTTTAGTTACAAACCAAGACTTTCAAATACTGAATGTTAATACTTAAATCAGTGTGCAACTTCAGTTTCAGCAATGCCAAAAACCTTTCCCTTGGGTTATATGCTGGTCCAGGAATTTGAGTCATTAAATTCACGGATCAGTTTATTGTCAAAGAGGCTGTATTCATACTCTGCTGGGTTCACATTATGTTTTTATATAAATATTTTTTCCTAAACTCTAGTAAACAGTAACCTAGATAAATGCCAAGAGATTTTCTGTCATTTCAGTATGTAATATCACAGTATACCTTTATGTTAAGTTTTCTGTTTTGTGTAGGAAGCACTCCATCTTCTTTAAGCTGCTCAGGAATTTGTATGGCCTTTGTTCTGAAGGTAGTATCAGTTGCATTCTCTAGTTTAGGCTTTTTTTTCCCAACTTTTAATTTCACTTTCTGGAAATCTTCTTGATGTTTCCTTTTTTTAGTCATTCTGATTCTCTGCAAAAAAATATTCAGAATTTTACACTACAAACATTTCTTTTTCCAAAGAAAAGCAACTTCCTAATGAAGGCTACAGTTTTTATGTTTTATTCCTATGCATAAACTATTTTCTGCTCCTGAGACAAGATACTAGACTAAACAGGCATGCAGCTGTTCTTCTAGTGTCCAAAAACATTCTCCCACTCCTTTGGTTGTCTTTGCTCTGAGAAGCACTTTATTGAAAAAAATCACTTCAGTATCCACATGTCCCACTGCTTTATCAGATTAAGTTCGTGGTTTGGTTTTGTTTTAAGAAGTTCCTGCCAACAGAGCTACTTTTTACATAGTTCGCTCTTGTCAAGACAAAGGAGCCCAGTGAACTGTTTCATTTAATTTGTTTACCAACTCAATCATTGATAGCATAGAGTCTGCACCGGTAACATCATGGGTTTAACCAGGCCTTCACTGATAACAGCAATATAGAAGAATCTAAGAAAACTTCCACTACAAAGTGAAAAGTCCAATCTGTGCATTTATAAACAATAACTAGAAAGAATGTGGGAAGGAGCAAAACGGTTAAATGGGCACACATAAGAGTAAAAATAGACCGAAAAACTAAGTTGTATTAAAAACATTACTAAAAACTAAGGCATAAGACATAATGTAGTCTAAGTAGCTATATTAGAAGTTGTACAGACATACTAGAATAGATACACAATAACCAAAACAAATTAAAACTCACACTTCAGTTTCTGAATAACGTTTTGGCTTTGACAGAACTGTACTGATAAAAGTACTCCTAATTCTACCAGATTAAAAAAAACCCACAACACACCAAAAAACCCCAAACACTACATCACAGGTTCGTTTATTTAATCTTCCTTCCCTCGATCTCCATACTTCTGAAACCATTCGTAACACAACTCCAGAAGCTGATGTCAGAACACTCAACACTACATACAAATTGCACCTAGATTTCTGTTAATTAAGACCACGAATCCATCATCTGATGACTCCTAGTAGTGGTCGTAGAGATGAGTTACAATTTAAAAGGGAGAAGGGAGAGACAAGCACAAAGCCATTATGATACTGAGGTTTAACATATCCCAGCTTTCTAATAACAGGTAATGAACATATAGAGCTGGAAATCTGAATACTTCCAGACCCCACTGTACAGAGTATAAAATCCATGCTGTCATGTCCATAAACTTTTTGCTTCTTCTCTCTTCCAAACTAGTCTTCAGGTAACTAGGTTTTGGACATTCTTAATATCTGAACTATACAAAAAAGTTGCAGGCACAACATTCAAATTGTAAAGACCAAACTGAAAAACAACAACAACAAAAAAAATACAGCTGACTAAGCCCAGAAATTTCTAAATAAAATATTCAAACAATGATTCTTTTATAGGGGATATGATCATCATTCACTCTAGAAAATAGAGTTCTACAGCTCATTTTCCCAATGGACTTCAAGCTGTGAATTCATACTGTAATACAGAATTTCATATACACATCATCAGGATAATTGTTAAAGAACGTTTTAAATCCAGTTGTCATTTTCTAGTCTTTTAAAACAATTAAAACGACTGATTATACAAACATTTGACTACAACTTAATTTCTGCTTTTCACATGCTGGCTTCGAACAGCTCTGTGCAAGACCCCTTTAACTGAAGTGTAAATTTAGCATAAGTAACCTATCGAATGAAAAAGCTTTAAAAAAAACACAGGCTTTGGTGCCAAAATATAAAAAGGTCCTTTAGTGTTCAACCATAACGACTATGGTTTTATGAGCTTTTCATTTTTACCATATGCATCTTTTATGAAAGAATTACAAGATTTTCACTACTTGGTTGCAAGACATACAGGAATACCTAGAAGCTTTTGATACGACTGATTTCCATTTACAAAGCTTGCTTCAATAGAGATATTTTGGAAGCCTCACTACAAGATGAAACGTTTGGCTTCCTATTAGCATCAGCACCTTCACAATACAGGCGTGTACACAGCTGAACAAAGTTAATTAAGTTCTCTTAAAGAAGAAGGCTTATAAAAGATACTTTCTACTACTAATACAAAGAAGCACAGTTTACCCTACACCGCATCTTTTAGAAATAATTTATTGGAAATCTAAGCACATTCATTTCCAATTCATATGTACCACGCAAAGTCAGAGATAAAAGGGTTACAAAACTAGAGCCATGAAAACACCACAGCATCTACGTAATAAAGACATTAAGTAAAACTGTATACAGCTTATAAAGTTACGTAAATATTTCAATGAAAGGTCTTGCTGAAACAACTGTTTGCTTTTTGACTTCGACTGTATTTTCAGTTGGCCCTCATACAACAGGGCTGCGCTAAGTGCACCTAATAGTTCATGCACTAATATAGTTTTACAATCCAAAACATTAAAATAACCACAAGTCGATACTAGCTTCCTCTAACACCAAGCTGTACGCAGCATTTTTCAGAAGCTACCTCGTGTGTCTCTTGGCCATCCCTGGCTCAGGCTTTAGGGAAACAGAGGGGAGCCAAAAGGAGCGACTGTTTCGCCTGATTTACTCCCTTGCAGCTCTGAGGCAGTGCCCTCAGGGAACCTTGCCGCCAGCATCTTCACAAGCTGAAGCAATCAGGAAAATCCTGAGAAACCAGAAGGCAAGGTACTTGCCCTAACTCCTCTCATCTGATAAAGGATTCCACCTGGGGGAGTTCTCTCTCGACAAAGGGCAATACTTACTCGCGGATAACTCTCTGAGGCTCCCGCGCCGGACAGCCCACTCCCAGCCACCACAAAACCCAACACCCAAAGCCGGCGCCACGCCGCAGAGGCCGTACCCCAAAGCCGAAGCGCTGCTGGAGCGGCGGCGGCGGCTCCTCCCGCAGGTCTAGGCCGTTAAACAACCCTCCTCGCCGTCCCGGGACATCTTTCGGCTTGTTCCCAAAGAGCCGCTTCCCTCCGCTCCGGTCGCTCTACGAGGCGTTTAAAATAAAGCGCGTTAGTGCCCGCCCGGTGCCGGGGCTCCCGGCGGGGAGGCCGCGAGTTCGGCTCCCGAGAGCCCCCCGCAGCCGCGCCGAGGAAGAGCTGGGTCTCCACACCAGCGGCTGCGGCAAGCCGCCGAGGGGAGAGAGACGAGGGGAGGT